CATTCACACACATATGAATCATTTTCACATATATCCATCGTTCTACACATTCACACACATATGAATCATTTTCACATATATCCCTCTTTCTACACATTCATACACATATGAATCATGTTCACATATATCCATCGTTCTACACATTCACACACATATGAATCATTTTCACTTATATCTCTCTTTCTACACATTCACACACACATGAATAATTTTCACATATATCCCTCTTTCTACACATTCACACACATATGAATCATTTTCAATATATTTTTCACATATATCCCATATGAATCGTTCTACCCTCGTTCTACATTCACACATATATGAATCATTTTCACATATATCCCTCTTTCTACACATTCACACATATATGAATCATTTTCACATCTATCCCTCTTTCTACACATTCACATACATTTGAATCATTTTCACATATATCTCTCTTTCTACACATTCACACACATATGAATCATTTTCAGATATATCCCTCGTTCTACGCATTCACACATATATGAATCATTTTCACATGTATCCCTCTTTCTACACATTCACACACATATGAATCATTGTCACATATATAGAGAATCTCACCCAAGTGTCTTCTGATATCAATTATATCAACACGAGTTGATAAAGTTACAAATATCCGAGGCTTGCCCAGGATATTTTTACTTTATCAACGAGTGTTGATATATTTGATATCAGAAGACACGAGGGTGAGATTCTATTTATCATCCAAAATCACTCTTCATTAATTTTCAATGAAAAATGTACATCTCTGAACATGGTACTGCCATTAGACTTGCAGTGCAGCAATGTCATAGCATTGTGACGTCATCAAGTACATGACGTCATAGCATTGTCAGGGCATTGTACAAAATCTACTGTCAAAACGATATCTCCTAGGAGATATCGTTTGATCTCACACAAGCGATATCTCCTGTGGAACATAGTTTTGGATGATAAATCCCTCTTTCTACACATTCACACACATATGAATCATTTTCACATATACCTCTCTTTCTACACATTCACACACATATGAATCATGTTCACATTTATCAATCGTTCTACACATTCACACACATATGAATCATTTTCACATATATCCCTCTTTCTACACATTCACACACATATGAATCATTTTCACATATACCTCTTTCTACACATTCATACACATATGAATCATTTTCACATATATCCCTCGTTCTACACATTCACACACATATTAATCATTTTCACATGTATCCCTCTTTCTACACAAACTAGCAAATATGAATCATTTTCACATATATCCCTCGTTCTAAACATTCATACTCATATGAATCATTTTCACATATATCTCTCTTTCTACACATGCACACACATATGGATCATCTTCACATATACGCCTCTGCACATATATGAAGCATCTTCACATACAGTACAACCAGAAATTATTGATAATTAAAAGATTGTTATTTTATTTTATTTTCACTCATTACTCACGTATTAAATGTGAATATTAGCAGAACATAACTCCAGATTCAAAGACAGGTGAACAGTTAGTATTTTGTCAAGTCACCATGGGCAGCAATGCAGGCTTCAATGCGGCGGGGCATACTGCTGATCAAAGAAGTTAGAAAGTCGTGGTCCATGCTGTCCCAATATCGGACCACCTCTTCTTTCATTTCAGCAATATTTGTCAGATTTTTCTTATTGACACTTTCCGTCATAAGTCCCCAAACATTTTCGATTGGATTTAGGTTAGGGCTATATCTTGACCAATCTAATAATGTCATATTTTGGGTCCGAAACCAGCCTGTGAATGCTTTGAACTATGTTTTGGGTCGTTGTCCTGCTGGAAAATCCAAATATTTCAATAGAACACGTGAGCAGATGGAAGTAAATGTCCTTCGAGAATATCTATGTACCGCTCACTGTTCATTTTCCCTTCAGATGCACAGAGGGGCGTTGCCCCTAACACAGATATGCCACCCCACACGTTAAATTTCGGACTGTACTTTGGGCGCTGATACAAAGGTTTTTCAGTTTGTTTGGTCCAGAATTTCAGTTTATTAGGAAACAGCCACACAGAACTTTCATCTGAGAAAATCACATTGTCCCAGTTCAAAATGTCTATGCTGTAAGCACCAGTTCAACCTTCGCTCCTTTTTGTTCAGGTTTCATGATCGGTGATGGAATTCCTCGACTTTTCTGCCAACCCATTGCATGCAGTTCAGTTCTAATTGTCTCCTTACAGACAGCCACAGTTCCTCTATCAATCATATCCAGCCTTAAGTTTTCTAAACTCCTTCTTTTGTTTTTAGAAACAAAAATACCAAGCCGCCTCCTGTCACCGACAGTCAATTTTCTGGGCCTACCTGCGCCTCCCTGGTGCTCAATGCCATATCCATTTGCAATATTTTCAAAACACGATAAACAGTGGACAAAGGGATGCTTGTTCTACTTGAAATCACTTTTGCTGATCTGATGGCCTTGTTTAAATACTCTTAAATCAACTTTCTCTTCTCTAAATCATCCATACTGATGATCACTGAAAATGTCGTCTGCTAGCTAGTAAACAAAGGGGGATAACTCTTCACAAACTAATGAAAAAGGATTAATGGAGTTGTCTCTCTTGAATGAAACCAAGCACTTGATAGCTGGTCAAGGTTGTTTATACTAGAAATCCAATTAAACACATTCCTAAAATTCTCAATAATGTCTGGTCATACTATGTACGTCTTTACACATTCAGACACATAAGTCTATGGATCATTTATACATATTCGCCTCTGTCTGCACATTCACACACATAAGTATCATTTATACATATACGCCTCTGTCTGCACATTCACACACATATGGATCATTTATACATATTCGCCTCTGTCTGCACATTCACACACATATGGATCATTTATACATATACGCCTCTGTCTGCACATTCACACACATATGGATCATATTCACATATTCGCCTCTCTTTACACATTCAGACACATGTGGATCATGTTGTCTACACAGGAGTCGTCATTAACATACAATATCAGCTACAAATAAGTCTCAATCTTTAATTGTTTTGATGATTTCACAATGCCCATCAAATGAATATAAGCACGGAAATCACGTCATTAGGAGGCCCTGCTTGTTCGTCCATTTCACGTGGATAAGAGGAAGTTAAAAACAATTCCCCTGACAAGAAACTTCCTGTTTGTCTCTTACACTTAAATAGTGACTGGGGTAAACCGCTGTAATCGCGTCCCTGTTTGCCGCTGTTAGTGGCTGTCAGGCTAAATCATGGAGAATTTCAGTAAGTACACGCTTCATTTCAAAGTAATTCAGTTTGATACGCCGTGTGAATAAATTACTGATATAGAGCATACTAAACGACCTTCCGTGAAATACCATTTTTATTAAATGAGTTGATGATTTGGTATCAAACGAGCGAAAGCGAGTTTGATGCTAAATCTCTCACGAGTTTAATAAAAATGGTATTTCACGGAAGCTAGTTTAATATTCTGTTTATTGCTTTCCATCATAAAATTTATAGAAACTGCCAACAGTCGCAATCACGATCGTGAGTGAACATATCAACTGTGTCAGAAGAAGAGATAATATACATTTTATTTGAAAACATTAACAAAATATTCTATATATTATATTTTGATCATTGTTTATAAATGATCAAGACATCGAGTAAGTCTGCATATTATTACGCAACCCAACTACAGTCTAGCCTTGAGTTAGAGGCAAAAGTGCTATTCTACTCAGTGACATAACATGTTATTCTACTCAGTGAAAATACCATTTTTATTTTCACCAATATTTACAGTATTTCACCCTTAAGAATTTAATAAACTAGTGTAACATTGCCATAAACATATTACACTGCAGTATCTTCCACGGGTGAGTAATAATCAATTTATTATACTGTTAGTTGTCACACGGATATTTCATATTTTAAAAAAACAATTTCATTCCTTGGTTTGGGTTTAAACAAAACGGTCAACTTCGAGTCATGAATCACGTTGGACCTTTAGCCATGGAACCGATGTTAAACCGATCACTGAATCTCACCACCTTGAGCATAAGCGTTATCAGTCAGAAAACAAGTTTGCTTCAGCTGCGATCTTGAATCCTATTGTCAGGTTAATCTGACTTCGGAGTATTCATTGTTGAACTGACGTGGAATTCTATCCCACAAATTAGAGTTGGCGCTACAATATTAGCTTTGTTGGGGGATTGGTTACTTTTACCCTGGGATACCCAGAGCGAAAGGTAATATTCGAGTTCTATTTGAGACAAATCCTTCGGACACTGTACCCTTTTAATCTTATAATCATTTTGTCACATCTTGCATGTCTAGAAAAATGTTTTGAGTTAAGCAAAGGGGAAATGACATTACATTTCCGCAACCATCACCTGGGGAATAGCAAATGTGTAATAGAGGTGTTTAAAAACGGGGATTAAAACAGGTTTTCAGCAACCCATGCTTGTGATGAGTTCAGTGACAACAGTGTAGAACGATTATGATGTCCGTTACTCGACTGACTGGTCCAGACTCAAGTATATATGCCTTCATATAGCTGGAATACTGCTGAGTTGGTTTATATGCTAAACAAACATATACGCCTCTGTCTGCACATTCACACACATATGGATCATTTATACATATTCGCTCTCTGTCTGCACATTCACAATAATATATGGATCGATTTTATACATATACATACTCTGTCTGCACATCTCACACAATATATGGATCATATTCTACATATTCGCATCTCTTTACACATTCAGACACATGTGGATCATGTTGTCTACAGGAGGAGCTCGTCATTAATCATACAATATCAGCTACAAATAAGTCTCAATCTTTAATTGTTTTGATGATTGTTTCACAATGCCCATCAAATGAATATAAGCACGGAAATCACGTCATTAGGAGGCCGTGCTTGTTCGTCCATTGTACGTGGATAAGAGGAAGTTAAAAACAATTCCCCTGACAAAAAACTTCCTGGCTGTCTCTTACACTTAAATAGTGACTGGGATAAACCGCCGTATCGCGTCCCTGTTGCCCGCTGTTAGTGGCTGTCAGGCTAAATCATGGAGAATTTCAGTAAGTACACGTTTCATTTCAAAGTAATTCAGTTTGATACGTCGTGTGAATAAATTACTGATATAGAGGATATTAAAACGATTCTTCCAGTGAAATACCATTTTTTATTAAATGAGTTGATGATTTGGTATCAAACGAGGCGAAAGCGAGTTTGATGCTAAATCTCTCACGAGTTTAAAATGGTATTTCACGGAAATAGACAGTTTAATGTTCTGTTTATTGCTTCATCATAAAATTTATAGAAACTCGCTAACAGTCGCAATCACGATCGTGAGTGAACATATATCAACTGTGTCAGAAGAAGAGATAATATACATTTTATCGAAAACATTAACAAAATATTCTTATATATTATATTTTGATCATTGTTTATAAATGATCAAGACATCGAGTAAGTCTGCATATTATTACGCAACCCAACTACAGTCTAGCCTTGAGTTAGAGGCAAAAGTGCTATTCTACTCAGTGACATAACATGTTATTTTGTACTCTAGTGAAAATACCATTTTTATTTTCGCACCAATATTTACAGTATATCACCCTTAAGAATTTAATAAACTAGTGTAGAATTGCCATAAACATATTACACTGCAGTATCTTCCACGGGTGAGAAATAAACAATTTATTATACTGTTAGATTGCTCACACAATGGATATTTCATATTTTAAAAAACAATTTCATACCTTGGTTTGGGTTTAAACAAACAGGTCAACTTCGAGTCATGAATCACGTTGGACCTTTAGCCATGGAAAGCGATGTTAAACCGATCACTGAATCTCACCACCTTGAGCATAAGTAAGCGTTATCAGTCAGAAAACAAGTTTGCTTCAGCTGCGATCTTGAATCCTATTGTCAGGTTAATCTGACTGGGAGTAATATTCATTGTTGAACTGACGTGGAATTCTATCCCGTACAAATTAGAGTTTGCGCTACAATATTAGCTTTTGTTGGGTGGATTGGTTACTTTTAACCCTGGGATACCCAGAGCGAAAGTAATATTCGAGTTCTATTTGAGACAAATCCTTCGGACACTGTACCCTTTTAATCTTATAATCATTTTGTCACATCTTGCATGTCTAGAAAAATGTTTTGAGTTAAGCAAAGGGGAAATGACATTACATTTCCGCAACCATCACCTGGGGTTGGACTGCAAATGTGTAATAGAGGTGTTTAAAACAGGGGATTAAAACAGGCTTTCAGCAACTCATGCTTGTGATGAGTTCTGTACTGACAACAGTGTAGAACGATTATGATGTCCGTTACTCGACTGACTGGTCCAGACTCAAGTATATATGCCTTCATATAGCTGGAATACTGCTGAGTTGGTTTATATGCTAAACAACACATTTTCCTCAATTCCTATACTAACACTGAAGTAACGATAAGAACGGAAACAATTCAACAAGTTCTATACGTTTACAGGTAATTTGAAATGCAGTAGAAACAGGGGCACAATGGCACCGACAGCTCATGGTCACTTCAATGTAGCTAATTCGGATGTAAATGCAGTAGAAACAGGGGCACACCACCGACAGCTCATGGTCACTTCAATGTAGCTAATTCGGATGTAAATGCAGTAGAAACAGGGCACACCACCGACAGCCCATGGTCACTTCAATGTAGCTAATTCGGATGTAAATGCAGTAGAAACAGGGGCACACCACCGACAGCCCATGGTCACTTCAATGTAGCTAATTCGGATGTAAATGCAGTAGAAACAGGGGCACACCACCGACAGCCCATGGTCACTTCAATGTAGCTAATTCGGATGTAAATGCAGTAGAAACAGAACAATGGCACACTACCGACAGCCCATGGTCACTTCAATGTAGCTAATTCGGATGTAAATGCAGTAGAAACAGGGGCACACCACCGACAGCTCATGGTCACATCAATGTAGCTAATTCGGATGTAAATGCAGTAGAAACAGGGCACACACACCGACAGCCCATGGTCACTTCAATGTAGCTAATTCGGATGTAAATGCAGTAGAAACAGGGCACACCACCGACAGCCCATGGTCACTTCAATGTAGCTAATTCGGATGTAAATGCAGTAGAAACAGGGCACACCACCGACAGCTCATGGTCACTTCAATGTAGCTAATTCGGATGTAAATGCAGTAGAAACAGGGGCACACCACCGACAGCCCATGGTCACTTCAATGTAGCTAATTCGGATGTAAATGCAGTAGAAACAGGGGCACACCACCGACAGCTCATGGTCACTTCAATGTAGCTAATTCGGATGTAAATGCAGTAGAAACAGGGGCACACCACCGACAGCTCATGGTCACTTCAATGTAGCTAATTCGGATGTAAATGCAGTAGAAACAGGGGCACACCACCGACAGCTCATGGTCACTTCAATGTAGCTAATTCGGATGTAAATGCAGTAGAAACAGAACAATGGCACACTACCGACAGCTCATGGTCACTTCAATGTAGCTAATTCGGATGTAAATGCAGTAGAAACAGGGGCACACCACCGACAGCCCATGGTCACTTCAATGTAGCTAATTCGGATGTAAATGCAGTAGAAACAGAACAATGGCACACTACCGACAGCTCATGGTCACTTCAATGTAGCTAATTCGGATATAAATGCACAGCCACCGACAGCTCATGGTCACTTCAATGTAGCTAATTCGGATGTAATTCGGATGTAAATGCAGTAGAAACAGGGGCACACCACCGACAGCTCATGGTCACATCAATGTAGCTAATTCGGATGTAAATGCAGTAGAAACAGGGGCACACCACCGACAGCTCATGGTCACATCAATGTAGCTAATTCGGATGTAAATGCAGTAGAAACAGGGGCACACCACCGACAGCCCATGGTCACTTCAATGTAGCTAATTCGGATGTAAATGCAGTAGAAACAGGGGCACACCACCGACAGCTCATGGTCACTTCAATGTAGCTAATTCGGATGTAAATGCAGTAGTAGAAACAGGGCACACCACCGACAGCCCATGGTCACTTCAATGTAGCTAATTCGGATGTAAATGCAGTAGAAACAGGGGCACACACCACCGACAGCCCATGGTCACTTCAATGTAGCTAATTCGGATGTAAATGCAGTAGAAACAGGGGCACACCACCGACAGCCCATGGTCACTTCAATGTAGCTAATTCGGATGTAAATGCAGTAGAAACAGGGGCAATGGCCACCGACAGCTCATGGTCACTTCAATGTAGCTAATTCGGATGTAAATGCAGTAGAAACAGGGGGCACACCACCGACAGCCCATGGTCACTTCAATGTAGCTAATTCGGATGTAAATGCAGTAGAAACAGGGGCACACCACCGACAGCACACACCTAATGTAGCTAATTCGGATGTAAATGCAGACAGGGCACCACCATGGTCACTTCAATGTAGCTAATTCGGATGTAAATGCAAGTAGAAACAGGGGCACACCACCGACAGCTCATGGTCACTTCAATGTAGCTAATTCGGATGTAAATGCAGTAGAAACAGGGGCACACCACCGACAGCCCATGGTCACTTCAATGTAGCTAATTCGGATGTAAATGCAGTAGAAACAGGGCACACCACCGACAGCTCATGGTCACATCAATGTAGCTAATTCGGATGTAAATGCAGTAGAAACAGGGCACACCACCGACAGCCCATGGTCACATCAATGTAGCTAATTCGGATGTAAATGCAGTAGAAACAGGGGGCACACCACCGACAGCTCATGGTCACTTCAATGTAGCTAATTCGGATGTAAATGCAGTAGAAACAGGGGCACACCACCGACAGCTCATGGTCACTTCAATGTAGCTAATTCGGATGTAAATGCAGTAGAAACAGGGGCACACACACCGACAGCTCATGGTCACAATGTAGCTAATTCGGAATGTAGCTAATTCGGATGTAAATGCAGTAGAAACAGGGGGCACACCACCGACAGCTCATGGTCACTTCAATGTAGCTAATTCGGATGTAAATGCAGTAGAAACAGGGGCACACCACCGACAGCCCATGGTCACTTCAATGTAGCTAATTCGGATGTAAATGCAGTAGAAACAGGGGCACACCACCGACAGCCCATGGTCACATCAATGTAGCTAATTCGGATGTAAATGCAGTAGAAACAGGGCACACCACCGACAGCTCATGGTCACTTCAATGTAGCTAATTCGGATGTAAATGCAGTAGAAACAGAACAATGGCACCCTACCGACAGCTCATGGTCACTTCAATGTAGCTAATTCGGATGTAAATGCAGTAGAAACAGGGGCACACCACCGACAGCCCATGGTCACATCAATGTAGCTAATTCGGATGTAAATGCAGTAGAAACAGGGGCACACCACCGACAGCTCATGGTCACATCAATGTAGCTAATTCGGATGTAAATGCAGTAGAAACAGGGGCACAACCGACAGCCACCTTCAATGTAGCTAATTCATGTAAATGGTCACACTCAATGTAATGTAGCTAATTCGGATGTAAATGCAGTAGAAACAGAACAATGGCACACTACCGACAGCCCATGGTCACTTCAATGTAGCTAATTCGGATGTAAATGCAGTAGAAACAGAACAATGGCACACTACTGACAGCTCATGGTCACTTCAATGTAGCTAATTCGGATGTAAATGCAGTAGAAACAGGGGCACACCACCGACAGCCCATGGTCACTTCAATGTAGCTAATTCGGATGTAAATGCAGTAGAAACAGAACAATGGCACACCACCGACAGCCCATGGTCACTTCAATGTAGCTAATTCGGATGTAAATGCAGTAGAAACAGAACAATGGCACACTACTGACAGCTCATGGTCACTTCAATGTAGCTAATTCGGATGTAAATGCAGTAGAAACAGGCACACCACCGACAGCCCATGGTCACTTCAATGTAGCTGACAGTAAATGCAGTAGAAACAGGGCACACATGGTCACTACCGACAGCAGGGGCAATGTAGCTAATTCGGATGTATGTAAATGCAGTAGAAACAGGGGCACACCACCGACAGCCCATGGTCACTTCAATGTAGCTAATTCGGATGTAAATGCAGTAGAAACAGGGGCACACCACCGACAGCTCATGGTCACATCAATGTAGCTAATTCGGATGTAAATGCAGTAGAAACAGGGGCACACCACCGACAGCCCATGGTCACTTCAATGTAGCTAATTCGGATGTAAATGCAGTAGAAACACGGGCACACCACCGACAGCTCATGGTCACTTCAATGTAGCTAATTCGGATGTAAATGCAGTAGAAACAGAGAGTGATAAGGTATTGTGGCAAATCCTGGCAATTATCGTTTACGTTATATTGTAAAGCCTTGTGCTGGAACCTTTGTAGAAAAATTCAATTTTTTTATTGAAATTTCCCGTTGCTTTGATTACTTTCTTGTTATTTCAATCATGTTCTCGGAAATTCGATTATTTTCACGTTTCTTCAAGTTTCTTTTAAAAAAACTTTGAGTGTCACTATCACTACCTTGGTAGTATGTTAAACAAAAATGTTGAACAAAACAGATGAATGTGGAAAGGGTTTTCTATTCTCGTTGCTTCGCGTATTTCATTGTTATTTCAACTTTCATCAGGAAACTTTAAGTAACAAGAAAAATATCGAACTAACAGGTAAATATTTTGATATGAAAATAGCTCGTATTTTGCGCTATGGTGCCGAGGCCTGGGGATTCTGTCAGAAAGATTATATTGAACCTGTGCACATATTGGCTTGCAAACGGTTTCTATGCATTACGATCTCTACTCCTAATAATATAGCTCGTGGTGAATGTGGGCGGTATCCCCTATATACCCTTGTATACAAAAGGGTAATAAAGTATTGGTTAATATTATTAGGTATGTCTGTTTTTCGTCATCCCCCAAAATGTTAATACAGGAAGCTAAGGCTTTAGATCATAATAGACTTAATTGGGCTTCGAAGTGTCGAGATATGTTGTACAGTTTGGGTTTTGTTTTTGTTTGGGAACAGCACTTTGTTTATTTTCCTACCTCGTTCTTTCTGAATTTCTGTGTCGGCTTAAATGTATTTATGAACAGAATTGGTATAGTTTACTTCAATATGGCAGCAAATCTTTGTCGTATTCTTACGAACAAATTGTATATCACTAATAGTTTCATCTTTGAATCCTTTACAACAGTTAAATAGACAACAGTAAGAGTGAGGTGTGAATTTTTTCGCTTCCATATACATGTATAAATTATACTCATAGAAACGAATAAGGGAACACACGAAAGTACAAGTGTTCCTTTATTAATTTCCAAAATTTCACCCACGATGCAATACATACCTTGTGAAGAAACCTCGAAAAGAATAAAGGAACACTTGTACTTTCATACTGCTCCCTTATTCGTTTCCATGAGTATTTTACACAAAACAAGTTAAGAATAATTATAGTTGATCTGTCATTGAGGGATAGATTAAACTTAATTTGTATGAAATAATCGGATGACCCTTCCTCTTTGTTAAGTAGTGCATCTTTAAAATATGTTAGTCACATCAAAATTTCAAAATAAGAACAAACACACACACGCTCACAAGTAATACTTTGTACATAAGTATTAAAATCTACCTCGGAATCAACCTGGATGCTATTCGTTCATAGGGAACAGGTAATCCAATACAAAAACCGTCAAGGCGAAATTTCTTCTTAATGAATATAATCAATATCAAACCGATATTCATTCTATGTCCTGTGATTTTTGATCAGGTGATTATGTAACCAGTGTGATTTAACTTGGAACAATAGCTTAACGGTGAGGCCTGTAAACAGCATGCAATATACATATCATACATTTAAGAAAGATAGAGTACCTAGGCATATCTTTGTTGTCCAGTGCCAAGATATAAATGAAAGTGCTAGCTAAATTTCGATGCGGGACTCTACCTCTCGCCATGGAAACAGGACACTATAACAGACCTGTAGCCCCATGGCCACTCAACGAACGCCTCTGTCAGTTCTGTGATGTGATTGAGGATGGAACACAGTTTCTGATAGACTGTCCTACTTATGACGATATCAGATACGAACTTTTGAAAGATACTGCGGTAATGCCATACTTTACAAACCTCACTTCGTCTGAAAAAATAACCTATTTAATGCAATTATGTGATATTCAAAAAAAGCTAGGAAATGCCCTATTTGCTATGCTTGCCAGAAGATGTAACCTTATAAATTAATTCCCAATCTACTGTTTTAATTGTATCTAGCTTTAAATTGTTTTTTAAACTATCTTGTGTAATCTATTATTCTTATGGTTTTGTAACATTCTATTTAAATATGTCGATTTGTACGAGGGAATGATACATGATGAAGTTTTTGAAACGTTATGAGTTTATGTTTGTGTCTAAACTTGTATATATGTAAGAGTATGTGTGTGTGTGTGTGTGTGTGTGTGTGTTGTGTGTGTGTGGTTGTGGTTGTGTGTGTGGTTGTGGTATGTGTGTGTGGTTGTTGTATGTGTGTGGTTGTGTGTGGTGTGGTGTGTGTGTGTGGTGTTGTGGTTGTGTGTGTGTGTGTGTGTGTGTGTGTGTGTGGGTGTGTGTGTGTGTGTGTGTGTGTGTGTGTAGGATGGTGTGTTGTGCGTGTGGTGTGGTGTGTGTGAGTGTGTGTGTGTGTGAGTGAGTGAAGGATGGTGTGTTGTAGTATGGGGATAGAGGTTTTGTGAGTGGGGGAATTGGGGTGGAGAGTTGTCGGTGTGTGTAGTGGCTTGTGTTGTATATATTGGTTGTTAGAAGTGTGAATATGTCCTGGATGTGAGAAGAATGTGTCGTCTGTTTCAGTTCTGTTTGTTTGTTTTAAGTATAAATTAGGGAAAATGTCTCCCATAACCCATATGCGTGGCTAATACGACAAAAAGCTTTTTATTTTATGTATTTTAACTATGTGTTGTATTGGGCGAGACTTAAAGAAATCTCTAACCCCTCCCCCTCTCTCTCTCTCTCTCTCTCCTCTCTCTCTCTCTCTCTCTCTCTCTCTCTCTCTCTCTCTCTCTCTCTCTCTCTCTCTCTCTCTCTCTCTCTCTCTCTCTCTCTCTCTCTCTCTCTCTCTCTCTCTCTAAGTCGTTTAAGAAACCAAATATGGAAATGTTTGTCGTCAACGAATCGTCCTGTCGAGATAGACCTACAGCGGAAACTAATCTTCATAGACTTGTGGTGAAGGATTATCCTTTGTGACTTTTCTGATTCTTTATTTTCAGATACTTTCCATGCTGTCATTATCTTTGGGGCCTTACTTCTATCAGAGATGCAGAATGTCAAGACTACTGCAAGTGACATCAACAACGTTGATCAACCAAGATGTAATGTCAGTGATGACAACAAAGTCGTAATCTGCAGCCACCTCCAACTGACGTCTCTGCCCAACGTTACAAATCCAGATGAAGTCAATACTCTTCTCCTCGACCACAACAATTTATCATGGATAAGAAAATTTGAATTTGCGAGATTTCGAACTTTGACTCATCTTGACCTTTCCTACAATGACATAAACTCCATCGAGGATGATGGTTTTCAAAACATGAGCAGCTTGGGATTCCTTAGCTTAGCACACAGTATTATGGAACCATCGGTGTTGACAAGCCAGGTGTTTAGAGGTTTAGCCAATCTCAAAACTCTTAAGCTGAATAACAACAACATGGCTGAATACCCTAACGAAGCCTTGAGCCAGCTTACTTCCTTAGAAGCTCTTTTCATCAACGGCGTTCCAGATGGGGAATTCGGAGAGGGGTTTAGAAATCTAACAAAACTAACTCATCTAACGATCTCCGGAAACAACGGGTTTTGTAACCAAACAACATTGTCGAACTCTACATTTGTTAACACCGTGTTCTTGGAAAACTTAGACGTATCAAAATGTTATGTTTCTCACATTGAAAAAGATTCTTTCTCGCCACTGACAAAACTTAGAAGTCTTAATATCTCTGATAATGTTAGACTCGGGTTTCAATCCTTCGGCAACGGAGCCTATGGACTTCAGTTCACGAACATCACAACTCTGATAGCCAACAAAATCGTGGTAAAGCATACAAGCTGTGTTGTCATTCGTAAAGCATATGTTGTTCACCTCAGCAACACCTCACTAGAAAATTTGTACCTTGATGATAACGAAATCGAGAATATTGAGAACGGTGTCCTGCAACTCTTGCCCTCGACTCTACGATTGGTATCTGCCCAGAGGAATAAATTTAGCTACGGACACTATCTGCGTGACTTGGATTCTTTGACGGGACTAGAGAAAGTTTGGTTAAGTGGAAAATCATACCCAATTGTAGTTCCGAACGTTGACACTCTTGATGACTACATGGATGACCAGTTTGAGGCGCCATATTGTTTCCATGATGAGACAGACGAACGGGATGTTCTGGCAAGTGAACTTCAGTCTCGCAGTGTCTGGTACGAGCCAGAGACAGTCAGGGATCCTCCTCAGTCTCCTTTCAACTTATCACTTCCGCCGAATCTGCAGAGGATAGTGTCGAACTTCACCCAGATGGCTTTCCCAATCGGGAAGATCCACTTCCAAACATCAAACCTGTCTTATCTTGATCTGTCCAGCAATCTTGTTCTCTTCGACGAAGGAACTATAAGAGGACTAGATAACGTGACATACATTGATCTATCAAATAATCTAGCCAGGAAAATGTCAACCAGCTTACTCGAAAACTGCTTAAAACTTCGTACCTTGAACATTTCCTTTAATTTCTTTGGTTGGCAGATACAGAAAGATACGAAAGGTGAAATATTCAAAAACCTGACTCAACTGACAAAGTTGGTTATATCCAATAATGACATGAAATATATGCGTGGCGAGGTATTGCGAGATCTGCATTCCTTAAAGATTTTAAACGTGTCAGACAACGGAATGTACTCCTTCAAGCCCAACATCCGCAACTCGATTCACCTTGAGGTTATTGACTGCTCGTATAACCAAATCAAGTGGATGCCAAACCACATTATGGATGACATAAACGAAATTAAATCTAAAGTTCCAAACTTAACATTACACCTTCGAGGTAATCCACTCTCATGTTCATGCAATCAGCTCCCGTTTCTCAAGTGGCTTCTTACATCGGGGATAACACCTGATGACATGGCTGACTACTATTGTCTGATGCCGAACACCCACCGAAGAGTCATCCTAAACAAGGCGGACTTTAAGAAATTGATCGATGAGCAAACTACGGCTTGTCAGAATAATTTCGGGCTTGCGCTAGGATGTGCATCCATTGTGGTTGCATCAATTACTCTAATGATTTCTGCAATCCTATATCGCTACAGATGGAAACTGAGGTACCTATATTACGCTGCAAGGTTGCGCTACATAAGGGACACTGACGTTGAGGAAGAGCAAGATGAGTTCCTATTCGACGCGTTTGTCTCCTACGCTGATGAAGACCGTGGGTTTGTCATAAATGATATGAGAGCGCATTTGGAACACGATACCGGTATGACACTCAACATCCACCATCGAGACTTCATGCCAGGAGAACCCATTGCTTCCAACATTGTCGGCGCCATCAAGAAGAGCAGGAAGACCCTGGTGGTACTGTCCCAGAATTTCCTCAACAGTTATTGGTGCACATACGAGCTGCGCATGGCCCAGATGGAGAGCATCAGCAGCGGGAGGGACCTCATCCTCATCATCATGTATGAGTCGGTACCCGCTAAGAACATCCCCCCAGAATTCCTTCACATGTTGCAGTCTGATTCCTATATTGAGTACCCCCGTGATGAAGGCGACAGTGACATCTTCTGGAAACAAGTAGCTCGAGCCCTAAGACATCGATCACATCGTCAGAATTCGACGAGTTCATCGTTACAAGCCGTCCCATAGTGACAGTGTAACGTAATATACTCACGTACAAAAGAAACTTGATACCTGACAAAGTACTGACTGTGTGCAGAATTTCGGTCCCATGTCACTAAAACCTATTGTAATATGAACATAAATCTATTGAGAAGCACATCACAAAATTTAATCAAGATCTTTTTAACATTAAATGATGTATTGACGTGCCATTTGCTGAAGGGGTGAAATTTGAAATTTACATAGCCAAAAGATAAAGACTTTACACTTTCATAGACTTTTAGAGTGGTCAAAAAGCTTTGTCAATAACGGGTGTGTCCTCCTTGGGCCACATCTGCACATTGATGACGTCAGCCGCCTGATGACGTTGTTTGGTGTTCTCTGCCACTCCTCCCTCAGCGCTTGGATCAGCTGCCGACGTGTTTGTGGAGGTTCGAGAGGTAATGGTTCGGTGACATATCAGGAGACCTTGGGGGCCAGGGTAGAACGTTGACGTTGTTGCGATTACAACTCTAGCAACATGTGGCCTAGCGTTGTCATGTTGGAAGAGAGTCCCTCGCTGGTGTTGCTGCAGGAAAGGGAGAACTACCGGCCTCAAAACGTGGTTGATGTAGCGTTGACCAGTCAGTGTCTCGTCAAACACAACAAGTCTAGTGGTCCGGTCTCCAAAAAATTGTCCCCAGATCATTACACCCCCTCCGCCGAAAGGCTCCGTCTCCTGCATGCAACAAGGATCCATTCGTTCGCCCACTCTCCGTTAAACTCATGTCCGTCCGTCATTATGGAACAGAGAGAACCTGCTCTCGTCCGAAAAGAGTACCCTTTGCCAGTCACGTCTCTGCCAGCGTCGTACGTGACGTGCCCACTGTAAACTCTGGCGATGTCTAAGTGCCAGGAAAGTTCCTCTGTACGGTCTGTAGTTCCTAATGTCGTAGGCACGGAGACGTCTGTCGACTGAGGTGGCGACCCAATGCCGTTGTTGCCGTCAGGAAGCGGTTACGTAGGTGGAGATTACGGATGTATTGGTTTCCTGTACCGTTGTGATGCGGGGTCTGCCTGATCTGGGCCGGTCTCTTGTCTGGCCAGTCTGTTGGAACCGCTGGATGAGGTTGGATATAGCCGTGGTAGAGCAACCGAAGGTTCTCGCAACGTGACCACGAGAAGCCCCCATTTGGATGGTACCGATGGCTCGTTCACGCTGTTCTGCTGTCAGTCTCGGCATTCTTGATGTGGTTTTCCAACAGAGGGTTATATGGGGGCATTTCATACCAAAAATTGCACGTGCGGTTCGTGCAACTACGAGAAAACCGAGTTTACAAGGACCGTGCCTGTGAACCATGCTTTGGAACTGTTGCGTTCCCGCTATACAATTTCAAGTCTCTATGAACACGGGAGAACTCGGGACATAGTATTTTGCAATGTTTAAAAAGTCACAGTTTCTTTAGAGCGAAAATAATAGGGTCAAGTTTCTTTTGGACGTGAGTATATATTTTCTTTGATCTATGACAATATGGTAAAAATATTACCTTGAATTATGTTTAAATCTCAAATCGTAATTTGGTAATGGTGTTAAGATATGTTTGTTGAAGGTGTATCCTTTGAGGATTACGATTAGATGTACCCAATAGAACACGATATCACAAAGGTATTCACAACCGTATTCGCATTAAATATAGTCCATACGTTTAAGCTTGGAATTTAAGCTCGATGTTGTAACACGATTCATATAGTCATGTACCGTATTTCTCCTGATGCTGGGGAAAAGCAAGCTTTGGACCCGAGTCATTAAAAACAATGTGTCGGCTGATGACGATCATAATCGAACTGTCTTCAAAAATCGCGGGGTCGATATATATTTAAGGGTGTTTATTTTTAGGAAACACGGTAGTTTGTGTATATATGTAGATAAACCATTAAAAAAAGAAAAGGCATTGTATATAATGAGCCTGCGTCATTTTGTTTGTAATACCAATTATCATAACAAACATATTTTTAACGATACCGTATTATGTTCTGCAAAAACAGAATGAGACGCATGTGGATTTCAGATGTAACTTTATGTATGATATGTATTACCAGCAGATTGAAATAAATTGTTCAAACTTGGCACATTTCATTGTCACTTATCGAGGTTCGTCATGGCACAGGGGAGGTGGGGTAGCCTAGTGGTTAAAGCGTTGGCTCATCACGCTGAAGACCCGGGTTCGAATCCCCACATGGGTACAATGAGTGAAGCCCATTTCTGGTGTCCCCCGCCGTGATATTGCTGGAATATTGCTAAAAGCGGCGTAAAACTAAACTCAGTCAGTCAGTCAGTCGTCATGGCACACGGGAAACAATTGTACGCCAGGACGAAGGTCATCTGTTCTCAATAGGTTGTATGGCCCCCATGAGAGTCGTTGCCCCATGGAACAAATCAGATTACGAATTGTGGTCTGGGAATGTCTTCCTGCAGTGCTTGTGCCAACTGCTGACGTATTCGAAGACGTTGATCAAGAGCATCCAATAAACGCTCGATGGAGTTTAGATCTGGAGACCTTGAGGGTCATGACAGAACGTCAACGTCTGTCTTGCCAGGTGAGGTCAGACGTTGTCGTGGTGAAAATTGTGACGTGTGGTTGTTGGAAAATCGGAAGGACGTGTGCCCGAAGAATCTCTTCTCCAGCGTTGTGCCGTCAAAGGGTTACCCGCACAAATCACTCCCGGTACAAGCAGACATGATGAATTCATGTTTGGTATTCATTTTGTATGAATACCAGCAAAACAGACATTACCGGTTTTTGTACTTTGGCGTTTCTTTTATTGCAGAGAATGTAACCTGTTGTGTTATAAGAGTCCATATTAGTGGCTTGTCTGGTTATTTGACGTTGATTTGTTTTAAAAAACATGACGTTGATGCAAAGAAACGTTATTTTGGTTTGCTGTTTAACGACGCACTCTGCAATATTACAGCTATGTGGCGGCGAAGTGTAAATAATCGAGACAATCCCGTGATCAACATCATGAGCATCGATCTACGCAATTGGTATACGATGACATGTGTCAACCAAGTGAGCGAGCCTGACCACCCGATCCCGTTAGTCGCCTCTTTCGACAAACATGAGTTGCTGAAGATCAATTCTAACCTGGATCTTCATGGGTATCAAGGAATATAAAACTGTTATAACTGCAGTCTTAAATAATCGAATCTTGGCCAGACATAATAAGCAAGGTCAAATTAACCCTGGACTAATTTATCCAGTAATTGACGTCATGTGCATCGATCCGCCAACCGATCCACTTTGTCACGTCGTGGGTTAATGTAGGCTTATCATTTTCGTTTATCTGCCGAAACAGATTCAGATCGGCGTAAAAGACAAAATACTGATCACCATTATCAACAAAATCAGTGATGACACCGGGTAAGGGTTTGTTGGTTCTGCATGTTCATCCGATTCTCATTTTGTCGGTTTTGTCGACCAGCAAGGCGTATGCTACTGAAGACAAAATCGGAGACCGCATTCGACGAACCTTCTCGACCGGCAGAAAGTAATGAGGACATTCTCAGCCCCCATACGACCCAAGGCGCACTCGAGACCGACAAGAACAGCTAACGGGCTGATCTTGGACCTTGTCCTTTTCCCTGCCTGTATTGTGGACATGTACCCACTGTCTTCCTGCTTGCAATATGTCATTGCTCATCACGTGTTCAAAAGGAAGGTAAATGGGACTTGTATAATAGTATATGGGTACATATCGCTGACAATTGGTATGAGGTATTTTCAATAGATTTACCAATAATGTCGCGCTGTTACCTACCCCTATTTCACTGCTCGAATATGTAGCCAAGGAGGTGAAGTACTGGTTCGGGATTACTGCCTTCGTCTGTGCTTGCGTCTGTGCGTGCAGCTTCCGGACAAATCCTGTTTTTATCTAGTTCTATCATATGCAGTTACCAAGCCGCAGAATATCATGAACACCTCCCTCGGACCCAGTATACCAACTCTGAACTGACCAGTCGTTGTTCCACCACCCTAATTGCCAAGCACCAGGCAGGGTAACAAAAAGTACCATTTTATTTGGTGTAACGCGGCCTGTGGATAACACGCCGACCGTCCACACTCCGTACAGCCGCTCCATCACCATAGCAACGGAGGCCGCCACTTGCCAAACGACAAGAGTTAGTGAGTGAATGTGGTTTTACGAGCTTTTAGTAATATCCTAGCAATGTCACACTTTGTGTCCATGTGGGGAATGAAACCCGGGTCTATGGTGAGAAGAGCGAACGTTTCAACCTCTAGGCTACCTCTCCGCCCGAAGTGAAAGGAGGTTCACTTCTTTATGGCGGCGGTGGGGTAGTCTAGTGGTTAAAGCGTTGCCTCGTCACACCGAAGACCCGGGTTCGAATCCCCACATGGGTACAACGTGTGAAGCCCATTTCTGGTGTCCCCCGCCGTGATGTTGCTGGAATATTGCTTAAAGCGGCGTAAATCCAAACTCAGTCAGTCAGTCACTTCTTTATGAAGAAAATTCCTGGATCTCACAGATACCCATGAAATACAGAGAGTTTGTAAAATCCTCCCTCAATAGCGGGACAGGTTATCATTCCGTACAAGAAGAGGTGCGTGTTATTATGGAGTGTACAGTAGTTAACTATATATTTCGTTGTTATTTCTTGGTTTTGCCAAACATATTATCCTGCTGTATAACAAAGTTTCCATGAGAAGGAAAGATTTTGAAAGATACGACGAAGTAATGAGAGTGAGAGAGTTTAATTTTTACGCCGCTTTTAGACAATATTCCAGCAATATCACGGCGGGCGACACGAGACATGGGCTTCACACATTGTATCCATGTAGGGAATCGACCCCGGTCTTCAGTGTGACGACCGGACGCTTTCACCACTATTCTACCCCCTGCTCCCGAAGTAATGAGAGATGAATGCCGAATTCTACCATTTTGGAGCAAGTCAAAGGCCTTATTGGGTTTGTCACTATGAGTGAGTGAGTATGTGAGTTTAGTTTTACACAGCAATCAGCAATATTTCAGCTTTATGGTGGCGGTCTGAAAATAATCGAATTTTTGGACCAGACAATCCAGCGACCAACAATCATGTGCATCGATCTACGCTTTTGGGATACGATGACATGTGTCATCTAACTCAGCGGGCCTGACTCATCCGATCCCTCTTACGACAAGCATTGATTTTATCACGAGGAATACGACGCATTTATAATCCGACAAGAAAATGTTAAATACTTCCGTGTTACTGCTGATAATAAAAGCCACTTATGGCCAAGAGTCCTTTCATGACATTTCGCTGAAGTGTGAAATTCAATCGTGCACAATCGTGTGTGTGTGTGTGTGTGTGTGTGTGTGTGTGTGGTCCCAAAATCGTTCTCAGTATCGCAAACACTGATTTCTGTCTGTCGGCTAATCAAATGATATATATTTCATGAATATCTACGTTTTGGGGGAATGCAGGGAATAATTTCATGATGATCTTAGCGCCTGTAGTCAGTGGTCTACATGGTTCGACTTACTCGGAGTTCGACATACCGGTTCAAAGTTATTACTAACTGAGGTGTAGAAATATTTTATCCATATGCTTTTAATTACTAGCATACTCGGTCAGTTTGGTTTCGGTCTTTGATGTTTCACTCGGTATCACGAATACAAATTCGAACTGGTACAAACTTGTGGTCAGTTCGACTTATCAGTATCAGGTTAACATACGTTTTCTTGGGACTATTTAGTGCGTTCTAAACAACCTTGAATTCAACACATAATTTCGACATATCCGGATGAAAGAGTTCATTGGACTGTGAGTTCGATACATGCCTGTTCGCGACAACGGTTCAGGTCGCCGTTAAATCCAAAAAACTCACTCATTCACTCACTTACTCGAGCCGCCAATTACAAGGCTCTTTGTACAGACTGATATTTCTAATTAACAGTGGTTGTTAGTTTAATGGACGTAATTCAAAGATACGTCGTGTGTGGACTGTGGATTCGACAAATCCAAGTTCGATACAACGGTGTTAAATGCATGTTACTTACTCATCATTCATTCATTCGAGACAACAATTAGCAGAGTTTGGGCGTCTTGGTACAAATGAACATTTCGAATATGAGTGACTAACGCTGATTGTTATTTTAAACGACTTTATTGAAAGTGTTCAGACATTAGAGGTTTTCAATTGTTAAACATCTCGTCTCCATCACGTTTATTTAAATATACAGTATAAAAATGGGTGCGTCGACTTCTATCTACACTTATTTCATTTTTCTGATCAGTCCAACACCAAACACAGTATTAACAAATAGAAACAATTATACAAATGACAGAGTGTTTATGTGTTGCCTAAAAAGATACCAATGTTATATTGCCTCGCCATAAAGGCCGAATAGGAACGGAAAATTATTCTAGCATGCAAGAAACTACAAAAACAAGTAAAAGGAGGAAAGAACGAACAAGTGTTTTTCATAAAACTGGGATGGTTCAGATACATCATGATATAGCGGTGTAGTAGTGGCAGTGGCAGTAGTAGTTGTACTAATAGAAGTAGGAGTAGGGTAGTAGTGGGAGTAGTAGTTGCAGTAGTAGTAGTAGTAGTAGTTGCAGTAGTAGTAGTAGTGGCAGTGGCAGTAGTAGTAGTGGCAGTAGTAGTAGTAGTAGTGACAGTAGTAGTTGTACTAGTAGTAGTAGGAGTAGGGTAGTAGTGCGAGTAGTAGTTGCAGTATTAGTAGTAGTGGCAGTAGTAGTAGTAGTAGTAGTAGTAGTAGTAGTAGTTGCAGTAGTAGTAGTAGTAGTGGCAGTAGTAGTAGTAGTAGTATTAGTAGTAGTAGTAGTAGTAGTAGTAGTAGTAGTAGTAGTAGTAGTGGTAGTAGTAGTAGTAGTAGTAGTGCAGTAGTAGTAGTAGTAGTAGTAGTAGTAGTAGTAGTAGTAGTAGTAGTAGCAGTAGTAGTAGTAGTAGTAGTAGTAGTAGTAGTAGTAGTAGTAGTAGTAGTAGTAGCGGCAGTAGTAGTAGTAGTAGCAGTAGTAGTAGTAGCGTAGTAGTAGCAGTAGTAGGTAGTAGTAGTAGTAGTAGTAGTAGGCAGTAGTAGTAGTGGCAGTAGTAGTGGTAGTAGTAGTAGTGGTTAGTAGTAGTGGTAGGTAGTAGTAGTAGTAGTAGTAGTAGTAGTGGTAGTAGTAGTAGTAGTAGTAGTAGTAGTAGTAGTAGTAGTAGTAGTAATAGTAGCAGAAGTTATGATTGCTGTGATTAATTCCTTTGAGGGGCATTTAGAAGTTGGTGTGATGAACGACGAGGAGAGTTCTATGGATATACAACTTCTTTAATATAATATCAGCGACGTTTCGGTGTAGCTACTAACAGCAAGTGATTACAATACTGAAGGCAAGGTTATATATACATAGTAAAGTTTGAACACTTAGTGATTGAATGATGTTTGCACAATTAATGAGGTTGATGTACAAGGTTGGAGGATGTTTACACAAGAACGCAAATTGTCCTAGATGGGAATTGTCCGGGTGGCAATTGTCGTGCTCCCGGGGTGGGTGGGTGGGTTATTGGGAGGAAGTCAGTGAAATGACAAACAGGAGAATAATAGGATTAAGATTGTAGTAATAGTAATAGTAATAGTAATAGTAATAGTAATAGTAATAGAAGTAGTAGTAGTAGTAGTAATAGTAGTAGTAGTGGTAGTAGTAGTAGTAGTAGTAGTAGTAGTAGTAGTCGTTGTAGTAGTAGGATACGGACTAACGACTTTAGCTCACATGCATTGCATACTAGTATTCATTTCGATTTACGATGACGGAACCGAAATGAAAAGTGTGGGAAAATAAAGGAAAATAAGGAAGTCTTTCGTGTCATACTGTTCTAAAACATTCTCGACGAGCCATGTCCTTCCTTCCGAGGAAATAATATATTCGAAATGAGCAAATTCATTTCAGCAATATTATTACAGTAACTTTACAGCTCTTTTTGTCCAAACAGGAAACCATTAGCGATTTATGAATTCTTATAACTAAATCAAACTATTGCCTAACAAAAGCCCCGCAGGACCGAAGCCCCACAGACAAAATCCCCTCGGATAAAAGCCCTTTTGGGCAAAAGCCCCAGACATCACAGACAAAAGCGCCATATATATATATATATATATATACAAAAACAATTCAAATTTAACAAGATATATTTACATTCTAATATCAAAAATCAACATAGCCCAGCACTTGTCACATCTTGCAAGGTGACTGTGCTCACGTGTCAGCTGTGGGTTCTCCATCTAAAAATTAATTACATATTATATAAATATTATAAATAAAGACATAATTAAGGTAATTAATATGAATATTTTAGAGATACTGTTGAGTTTACAGTCTTGACATTGAGCAGATCATGTTAACACTGAACGCTTAATTAATGAATGAAACAATGAGAACACCCTCAAGACCACCTTCCTCCTTAAGACCACCTTGAAAAAAACCAACACTTAAGTGTCTTAATTAATCCTTTTCAAACCCAATTTCTTGATTACCCTTCTCAAGACCAACCTCCTTCTCAAGACCAACTTCCTACTCAGACCACCTTGAGAAAACATGATTTGGGGCTTTTGTCTCATTTGTTATTTTTGCTATGGGGCTTTTGTCCGAGGGGCTTTTGTCTATAGGGCTTCGGTCCTTCAGGGCTTTTGTCTGTCCACCAGTCAAACATAGACAGGATAACAATAAGCATATAACCTGCCTTTCAAAAGTTAATTTCAGCTACATGTACGCCCAACTACGAGAGGATAATAATAAAAACATACATGACTTTACCACACAAATGTCACATGTACGACCTCGCTATATTCGAAATATAAAATGTCCTGTTCACTGTGGTCTGACAGCCTGACACAAGCATCTCCAGAACTCTTCCCTGTCTTCCTCATCAGTGGGGTAAGCTATGTAAGAATCTGTATGCAACAGTTTGAGAATTTCTGGCGGGATGTCCTTGGTTGGAATATTTTCGTACATGATGATGATCAGGATGTCCCTCCCGCTGCTGATGCTCTCCATCTGGGCCATGCGCAGTTCGTACATGCACCAATAACTGTTCAGGAAGTTCTGCGACAGAACTACCAGAGTCTTCCTGCTGTTCTTGATGGCGCAAATTATGTTTGCAGCTATGGGTTCTCCTGGCATGAAGTCTCGGTGGTGGATGTTTAGGTTTATTCTGTCATGAATTTCCATGTAGTAAAGCATGTCATTGACGACAACCCCTCGGTCTTCGTCAGCGTATGAGACAAATGCGTCGTGCATGAAGTGCGCGTCATCTGGAGTATTTTGGTTACCTTTGTACTGGATTCTGGCAGAGTGGTACAGATAGCGCAACTTCCACCTGTACCTTCGAAGCAGCCCAACAATCACGACTATGAAGAAGAAAACGATTAATACAGATGTGCCACAGATTAAACTTACAGCAGAAAAGCATTTGTTCTCCAGATCGCGGATCAGATCTTCAAAGTCGTCTTTGTTTGTAATGACCCTTACTTCATTGAACCGTAAACAAAAATACCCATACATATTATCAGGGGTCACTCCTGACTCAAGCAGCCAGGTCAAAGTCTCCACATTCCTACACGAACAAAGTAATGGGTTCCAACTCAGGTCCAGAGTCAGGTTCGGGGAAACCGATTTCAATGTACGTAGTTGTTCTCGAACATCTGGCATAAGCCACTTTATGGAATTATTTGACAAATCTATTTGTTTCAACTTTTTCAGATTTTTCAGCTCAGGGGAAAAGTCGAAAATGTCATTTCTGGATAAGTTAAGAATCTCAAGGGATGTCAGATCACGAAATATCCTCCCTCGAACAAACATGAGACCGTTAGAAGCAATGTGCAGCTGTTTCAAGCGGAACAAATTTCTGAAAATCTGTCCATCTGTATCCTTGTATATGTCCCATTTAAAGAAGTTGTGTGACATATTGAGTACTTCTAAGGATGCACACTGTTGAAATAGGTCTCGAGACAGCCACCTAGCAACGTTGTTGGATAAATCTAGAAACGTTACATTGTCATACCCTAGCAAAGTACCCTCACGAAACTGAAGAAGATTGCTGGACAGATCCACGTGTTGTAAACTCTCAGCTTGAATCCTTATGGATGCCAGCTTGCTTGTCAGTTGAGTAAAGTTCGAGTGGACCTTTTCCAGATTTGGAGGAAGTGTTAAATTTGTTACCACTAAAACAGGCTTTGTAGTATAAGGATATATATACGGTTGTATTTCATAATCCCAAGGCATTGAATGGATAATGTTATCATCAGAGTCGTCAACGGCACCAGCAACGACTTCATCGGACAACTGCATCTCCAACATATTTCGGATTGGCTCGTCTATAGGGACGTTCACTCCACTGAGGCGCAAATACTTTAACCCTGTAAGATATTTCACTTCATAGACGTACGCCCCAAAATCAAATCTATGTCGTTGCGCAGAGATGAATCGTAAAGTTCTTGGCAAGAGACGCAGCACACCCCGATCGATGTTCATGATAGTGTTGTCATCAATATACAGGTGAGTAAGGGAAGTGCTCTTCAGATATTGCACGTCCTCTTGTCTGATCACGACACATTTTGGATGCATTCGTACGATTCTGTTTGCCGCCAGAACGCTAATGTTTGATGACTGTAGGCCGTAAAAGGCCTTGCCTAATTTCGCGAATCCAAGGCGGGTGTTAGAGGAAATGTTCAGGGTTTGAAGGTTTGGTGTATGTGCAAACGTGCCAGCCTCGATGTCAGTTAAAGAACATTTTGATATATCCAGGTATGTTAAGTATGGTACGCGTTCAAAGGATGCATTATGAAGGTTTCCTATGGCACATTGTCCGTTATCACCAGACATTATAAGTTTGGTCAAGTTGGTAAGCTTGGAGAATCCTGAACCAAAGGTTGCGTTGGTTATTCCGTCAATGAATAGGGTATCCAGTGAAAGTAGCCAATGAAATACATCAGGGTAGGTGTTGATGGTTTTCATTTCAACAGAACTTACATCGTCACTGCCAATTTTAATGAAATTACCGTTCAATTTCAAAACCTTCAAGTTGGCAAGGTCTTGAAATAATTTTGGATTTTGGCTCAAAAGGCGTAGAGTGATATGATTTTTTTCTAAGCTAAGGAAAACCAGTTGGTACAGTTGTTCAAACGATCTCTCTTCAACAATCGATATAGTGTTAGAGCTCAATTCTAAATAGGTCAGATTAGAATATTTTCTGAAGTCGTCATTTCCCAATTTACTGATGTTATTACGTCCCAGAAGGATCACATTGGTGTTTGTTGGAAGGGCGAGTTGTTCAGTTAGTGAAGATATGCCCCGGTCTGAACAGTCCGCTATGTACATGTCTCCGCCATAGCTGCTGTTGTCATGCCAACAGTGACAGAGACGTTTACAACTGTCAGTCTCATCACCAGTGTTGTAAGTCAGTGTGAGGACTTCATGGGCCAACGTGAAGACCATGAGGAAAATTGTATTCATAGTAGAGCTATCTGCAATCAAAAGATCTGTCTTTTAAAATTCAATGAGCAAGCATTTATATCAACAATTGTGTATCAATGTAATCAGCTACAAATGAATGTCAATAGTGTTTACCATGATAGAGACGTTTTGGTGAAGAATCAAACAGTATATATACTTTATATCTGTATTTTTTCGCTCTTATTATTATTATCATTATTATTAAATATACTTCCACTAATTCTAGTTCGACTAATTTCGACTAAGATATTATACTACACGAGGATGTCTAATTGATAGGGTTGCAAATGAAATATTTCCGGCTAATTATAATTTCATTTGCTGAATAATCTTGAGAGACTTCCTGGTTCATGTTTTAACGCGGTATATGTGTCACAGTTGCCTGAGAGGCACGTGTACTCGAGACGTTCTTCAAAGTCGATGATGCTTTCTTATCTCCACATATGGATTCTTTTTATCGTACCTATCGTTACCCAGACCGTGAAAGTGACCAGTTACTTTGCGACCCTTTTTGAGTGTAACTAATTCAAATGTGTAAAAATTTCAAACCAAACTTTCACACATTTAAATGAAAAGTTACTTTATTCAATAGAAACGTTAATACCCCAATGAACCTATCTCCTGTTTGAAAATCAAACCAATCGTCATTATTGATTATTAAGCCATTCATATATGTGTCAAGTTTCATAACTGTGTCATGTAATGATAAATCGATATATTTGTACCCACTTAGTCAGTTAACAACGGGTCTGTATCAACTTTCTGTCAATTTCTCGAGAATTGGGTACGACAGATAAGTATCAAAATAATTAGTTTGTTAAAAAATACTCAAGTAGCATATACTTCTCATCAAAAGACTCTCTAGTGTAAATATAGCCACTTACTTCAAGCAACTTTACTAATGTAAATTTTGCAAAATATTCCATACTGTATAAAGATACTGTTTACACATGAACTGATGTATTGTAAAACAAATTCTTAACGTTGAAAAGATCATTGTCATGAGTTCAATAAATGATGAAAATCAGTGAAAATTGGCGAATTCTAAACAAAACGATATTTGCACATGCTTTTCAGCAATTTGAAACATGATCCTCGTGCAATTCAGCTGCATAAAGTTTGCAGTTGGTTCCCCAAAGTTAGTGGAGAAACCAATCTTCGATGTAACCATATATCTATACATAACATATAGCGAGTGTTTTCATTGAGTCTAAACTTTTAAAGAGAAGTATATATGAACTTTGATGAAGTATAAACTCGTGATTCCGAAGATGTAACTGCATTGTGCGTCTTTAGGAATATCAGGTAAAATTTATAACATTAAAAATACTTGAATAAACGGACAATAAGGCGCAGTTACATGAAATATGTCTTTTACTGTAAAGGTCTGGTTTTACTCCATTCTAAGTCCTTGACTTCGCTGTAATGTTTCTTGGCAGAAGAAACATCCTATATACCACTGATCTGCCCTAGCAAAACTAACATAAATATGTGTTACATTTATGTCCCACCAAGAAAATGCATGATGAAGAAACCCAGTAAATGCTCTAGTTGTTTAAAGGGGGCATGTAGCTGTAGAGAGTGATGAAGTTTCAGATGCAGGTTACAAGAAGCCTTTACCATGGAGCGAGTTGAGTCGTGCAAATAACATTTCCAGTGAAAAAATAATCATACATTTTGATACAGATGATACAAAAATCCAATGAATGTTCGTTATATTTTTCTTCATTGTTATTACAATAATTCAGGACATTTACAATCTTCGAAACTATTGTTAGATACATTTCGGATGATTCTTTGTAAACCTGGCTCTATCCATCTGGCAATAAAACATTTGGCGGTGGCCGCATACACATTTTCAGGCAATATCTTGTCAATAAAACTAAAAACTAAAACCATGTTTTACAGGGCAGTGGCGACTACTTCGATGTAACCTGCACACTTAACAATATTGACCGCCTCCGTGGTGTAGTGGTTAGAGCGTCCGCCCGGAGAGCGGAAGGCCGCGGGTTCGATCCCCGACCGCGTCATACCAAAAGACGTTAAAATATGGTACTTGTTGGTCCCTGTCTGGCGCTCGGCATTAATGGGTACAACAAGGACTGGTCGGCTCGGAGTCAGTATAATGTGTCTGAGTGGGGTACTCATGCTTCACTGCGGCATGGTATCTCAGTGGGCTAGCACTATAAAACCAGCTTCAGTCTGGGCTAGTACAAGCAGCCGCACATACACATACACACGCATGCACGTCGTCATAATATTCTCAAGCACGACGTTAAACCCAATTTCACCTCACCTCACCTCACTTAACTATATTGAATGGTTTGTTGCCGATATAACAAGAAACATTTAATCCTGGAATGACATTTATGAGACATAATCACTGCGAGATTGTGAAACATTTTGGTTTTACAGATTGCGATCTCAGCTTAAGGCACTTCAGGCGTATACTTTCTGTCATCACGAAGCTGTTGTAAAATTATTTTAACATAAAGGAAAAGATTGTTCGAACTGTAAAAACTACTTAAATTAAATGAATATATACATTCGTAATTGTGCAATCTCAAAACACAGCTCGTCACAAGCATACGTGCGAGATAACATTACTACAAAACGCTGAACCTGTGGACCATGACAGGGGCCAATGATATCCACTTTTTCCATTTTTGAGAAAGTTGTGATTTTTTAAAATCATAAAAAAGCACATTTTGGAAAATGCAGAGCCGGCCGGGTCATGTTGACAACGTTAAAGTTTACATCTTAACATCAGATAGTTCGTAAAGAAATGTATCTCGAGTAATAAATTAAGTTTGATTCCAAAAGTTCAACAATGCGATCGTGTATTGTAATTCAAAATATTAAAACATGTCATACCTTGTTGTTACAGGATGGAAACAAATAAGATTAATGTAGAATACGGCTTTCCATATGAAGCGAAGCAGTCAGTAATATTGCAGTCAGTAGATGATCATTAAACCCATAAAGCCCATTGCAAATATCATAAGGAAGAGGAAAATGAAACTAGGCAATCAATGCTGAATTTGCAGTATCATGTTTTACTTGCTTTGTTTGTTTATTCTTAAACGCCAGTCAACAAGTTGAGTTTAGTTTTACGCCGCACTCAGCAATATTCCAGCTATATGGCGGCGGTGTGTAAATAATCGAGTCTGGACCAGACAATCCAGTGATCAACATCATGAACATCGATCTGCGCAATTGGGAACCGATGACATGTGTCAACCAGGTCAGCGAGCCTGACCACCCGATCCCGTTAGTCGCCTCTTACGACAAGCATAGTCGCCTTCTGTGACAAGCATGGGTTGCTGAAGATCTATTCTACCCCGGATCTTCACGGGTCTCCAGCTGAAATAAGGCGCGGTAGCTCCGGCAGAAGGGTGAGTGAGTGAGTGAGTGAGTGAGTTTAGTTTTACGCCGCACTCAGCAATTTTCCAGCTATATGGCGGCGGTGTGTAAATAATCGAGTCTGGACCAGACAATCCAGTGATCAACATCATGAACATCGATCTGCGCAATTGGGAACCGATGACATGTGTCTACCAGGTCAGCGAGCCTGACCACCCGATCCCGTTAGTCGCCTCTTACGACAAGCATAGTCGCCTTCTGTGACAAGCATGGGTTGCTGAAGATCCTATTCTACCCCGGATCTTCACGGGTCTCCAGCTGAAATAAGGCGCGGTAGCTCCGGCAGAAGGGTGAGTGAGTGAGTTTAGTTTTACGCCGCACTCAGCAATATTCCAGCTATATGGCGTCGGTCTGTAAATAATCGAGTCTGGACCAGACAATCCAGTGATCAACAGCATGAACATCAATCTGCGCAATTGGGAACTGATGAAATGTGTCAACCAAGTCAGCGAGCCTGACCACCCGATCCCGTTAGTCGCCTCTTACAACAGCATAGTCGCCTTTTGTGGGTTGCTGGATTGATGTTCATGCTGTTGATCACTGGATTGTCTGGTCCAGACTCGATTATTTACAGACCGCCACCATATAGCTGGAATATTGCTGAGAGCGGCGTAAAACTCACTCGCTCACTCACTCTTGTCAAGAAAGTGTATATGTTTAAGGGACATGAGTTAAGACAGATAGCCTGGTAAATGTCTGTTCATCTCATCTATGAAGAATAAAACAATGTGGCAGCAGTTTTTAAGATGTGAGGTGATTCTTTTATTCTCAGTGATATTAATGGGCCACGTAATCATACATCATCCTGAATGCTATAGTTTAGTGTCAGCATTGTTCAGTAACAATTTCTGTCAGTGTTATTAATTTCTCCGACATGTTTGTTGTTTTAATAATAAATTTGGCAAGTGAGTTGCTTAAATAATATCATTTCGGGATGTGAACTGTTTGGAAAATTAAATTTCGGCACGTGCATTGTATGAATAATTCATTTCGTCTGCATTATCTGCTGACTGCGAATTATCAGAAGTAAAAAAATCCATTTATCAGTTCTGAATGTAGATACCCAATTTTGTTCAGTCTTCTGGCAAAAGAAACCGTAGTCTCTAATGTAACTATGAGTGCATGAATGACATGTGAGTGTGCTCGAGCATATGCCCCCGTGTCTTTGTGGCGATTAAAGATTAAAAAATATTGTTTTTGAGATGACCCCCGACTCGAAATGCTTCACAGTACAATATACATGTATTATGACATAATGAAGCGTTTCGATTCGGGGTCATCTCAAAAATGTTATATATTTTTTTAAATCTTTAATCCTCTCAAAGACAGGAGGGCCTGTGTGTTGAAGGGGTAGACTAGGGATGAGGCAATGCTCCGCAGGCTCCGATTAAATATAATTAGTCGTATAGTAGCATTCATGTAACCAGGGCGTCTTCTAATGTAGTCAGCAGCTTGGCTAAAGTCCAGGGCAAGACAAAATAGGATGGCAGTGGTGAAAGGAGGATGGGCGCAAAGGGGCGCTTGTGGTAGAAGTGAAGTACAGTCAAGCCTATGGATGTTACTCTCAACGGAAATAAGAACTGGGCTG